CTAAATAGTTAAGTCCTGAAGACGGTTGGTTGCAGTGAATTATATTTAGGAGTATCAGATATAATGCAAATGCATGACACACTTCTTAGATTTTCATTTGGAAAATTGCTGTACGGCTTTTATTCTTTTCAGTTATGAGTTATTTTATTGTGAGTCAGTCACATGAAATCCCCACTAAAACACATTGTCAGAATGCAACTGAACACAGGTCAGAATGAAGTGTTCCATTTAGTTGTTTTTTTTTTTTGTCCTANATTCATTCAGTTTTATGCAGTACAACTGAACTTTACCCAGATCTAGCAAAAATTGACTTTGCCTTTGATTTGGTTTTACTTGAAGCAACATCCAAGGAGAAAGGAGATATGCAGACAGAGGAATCTTTTGTGTCTTCATCAGGCTTGTCATATGTTGAGAAGAAAATAGAGATAGCAGATGTAAAACCAAGCATGTGAGAGACACAGCATGAGTGTGCCATGTGACAAAAATCACAAGCGTAAGTTGCCTGAACAAAAGGCCCTGTATTATGCAAACCATAAATGGGCATGGGTACAACTGAGCCTGTTAAGCATTTGAGCATCACTGACAACTCACTCAGCTAGCATATTGGTAACAACACACTCAGCTAGCATATTGGTAACGACACACTCAGCTAGCATATTGGTTCTGAATTATGTTATGAATTCTGAATTTATTTTTACCCTATCAGCTATTTCTAAATACTCTTTCCAGTGCAGTCAGTCCCTCTCTCTGAACAAGCAAGCTATACATCATGAACTGTCATCATGCAATCTGCCTACAATGCAATAATCAAGTGGTGCATTAAAGCAAGCAGTGAAAGAGTTCTCCTTTCTTTGGCAAAACTTCAGATGCAGGTCATGTACTGTTCTCTGTAAATAAATCTTTGCAAAAACAGAACTTATTATACTGCTCTTGATCTTTAAAAGAGGAATAATAATCAGAAATTGATCATATGCCTTTTTTTTAATCATTTGTTTTCATACAGTCAACTAGCTTGTAGGATGGTGACGATTCTGCCACAGGTCATTAGGTTTGTGGAGCAGCAGCTCGAGCTGATTGTTTACCATGGGGACACTAAAACAGTGCTATCCAAGTCCTCTGACCTAATTACGCAAGCAAAGGACTGCTAAGGATAAGGTATCACTGTTAGCTCTTCTCCATGCTGTCAGAATATCCAAGCTACAGTGACTTTTGGTGTAATATGCTAATTAGCAAGCCTCATGTTGAAAATATTCAGTCCGTTTTCTTGTTTTTTGTTTGTTATTGTGTTATGGTAAAATTATTTTAATAAGACTTCAACAGTGTTCAAATTATATGATTGTGTCAGTTAAATACAGGATGTTGATGAACTGATAATAGTGGCATAAAAGTTATAATAGTGTTTAAAAAAGCACCTTTATGTAAGTAATTTGGCAAGGCGTCGGACTTCTACTTGCGCTGAACCCTTCAAAAATTTATAGTCTTTAGACTTTACCCATGTTTCATTTTCTTATCTTTTAAACAGGAAAATACAGCCATGCCCTCTCACCAAAGGAAATTTGTACTTGACATTATGGCCTATTCTGAACAAAACACTAGTGTGACTTGGCAAGTGTGTATTTGATTTACAAGTCTGCCCAAGATCTACCTTTCTCTTAGCTTTGGCAGCAGATTTTATTTCTCTTTTAGCATAGCGGCGAACTTTCAATCTATCCATGTGAGTATAATGTCATTAAAATCAATATTATTTTTGTTTTATTTCACAATATCAGTGAGTAGATAAGTTGGCAGGACAAAGCTTGAAATTCCAGGTAAAAAAATAAAATCCTTGGTTTGTGCCTGACATTACAACCTAAATAGCTACAGGCTCCTAAACATACATTTAAAATTTATTTTTAAAATATTCAGTATTTCTATGCATTTTCTATATTTTTCTTCTATTTTTGTAAACTCAATATGATTGAAGAAACATTTTTTTTTCTTCTTCTTTTTTGCCGTAAGATTTTTTAAACATAGTTGCCTTAAGGTCTGAACTTGAAAGTGCAGGGACCTGAGCCTCCAAGCAGCTGTTGGAATGATGAATGTCACACAGGGCTGCCAAGTAACAGCAAACAGGCTACAAACGCCGAGGCAGGCCTCAAATTTCACAAGCTCTTTCTTTGGGAGGACAAAACAGTTTGAATATGAGTTCAGTCCAAGGCAAATCACACAGCAGAAAGGGAACAGATGTTCCATTTAAAATATTTATTGCACACATTGTGTCGTGTAGTAAATAAAAACAAGGTAAACAGAATGATTTTAAAATTTTTAAACTACTGTTTTTTATCATAACATTCTTACTGATCACAGCTTATTTCAGTGAGATGCCAAAGAAAGTTCTCAAGTGATGGAGGTTTTCTGTGGCTGCACCGTTATAAAATAATGCAGTGTTGCCCCATCCCACATGGTGCTGCACACTGGCTTTTAGCTGGATGAAAGAAAACTGCAAGAAAGACAAACTCGTCTGTTTGCAAACATTTGAATAAAAGGAATTAGATAGTAATATGCACTTTATTTGTATAAACACCGTGATTAAAAAAAAATGTTTACTTGTATGAATGGAGCAAACAATATGCTTCTAACTAAAAATATGGATGTCTATCTTCAGTGCATTGGTATATAAAAAGACTATTAAGCTTTCAACAAAAAAGTCATGGGCAGTTAAAGCTATTTCTTACTAGTTTAACATACAACTTTTTCTTGTTTCAAGAGGTGTAAACCAAGTAGTTTGCATGTAATGATTTGCTATCAAATTATCAGAGAAAGACAATCTCGATAAACAGCTATCATCTCACTATGAATTGATTCAATTCTAAATTTCTGACAGCTGACTGACATGACACAGCTGTTATGACCGCAGTTTAAATTTAGCATAATCACGTCAAAAGACAAAACATTTCACTCCATCTGACCGCAGAGTATGTCTACTGAATATTCAAGAGGTAATGCCTTACTGACCGTTTCAAATTTATATTACTAAAAATGCTGATGCAAATAAAAGAAGTCCACATTTTAGATTGTGGACAACCTAAAGTGTGTTGCTGTTCACACTTTACGTTAGCAGGTGTCACTTTAAAATGTTTCGGTATATATTATTGTGTTACTGGATGCACAATCTGTAAAATTGTGGCACAGCTTTACAGAGGCAGGCTACTGAGGTCAGTCTTCATTTTTCATTTTTCTCTGAATAACCCTTCTGACTTTGTTTTTTTCTTTAACTTTTTTACGAATAAGCTCATTTCCTACTCTGGACTTTGTACAATGCATTGTGACTGACTAGTTATAGCTAAAAAAAAAACTATGTGCAAGACTGTGTAGAAAGGTTGATAATTGTCTAGGTTAGATATTAGACTGAACAGGAAGAAAAAGATAAATGGCAGCATAAGTAGAGAAGAATCTGACATGTAATTATAGGGTAGAGGTGAAGGCGGTCAGAGAGGGAGAGAAACAATTGCACAGAAACAAAGAAGCAGACTTTTGGTGCTGGAACAAAATCTTACTGGAGAGTTCAGTTTGTGAGCAGTAATTCAAGCTGCAGTTCAGTGTTTATTTCTATCAGAAAGCCTAAATAGATTAAAGCACATATAACCTATAGGAAAGAGCCAATGTTGTCATTTCATCAGCATATCTTTGGCTTAGTTTACTGTGTTACTTTTAGAGCAAAAATACATCACACTGTCAATTATGCAAGTATTAAGCACTGCTGTAAATTTGGGTTTAAATCACTGTATGGTAGCTGTGTGTGTTTGTGTATCTGTATAAAGCCCCAGATAGACGCACACACAGCTGGGATTTCTTGGCTTTGTTCTGGGTTTGCAAAGATTTTTTCTTCTTGGTCTACATGGGCGTCTCTAACTGTGACGAGCTGCTTGGATTCTTTGGTGCTTTGCAAAACACGGAGCGTGCCATCGGAACGGAGCTGCCCCTAGAGCAGCTTGACACTGGCGTTCACGTCCTGACAGAGTTACTGATTAACATACAAAACAAAGGGAGATTTACATGGGGTAGGGAAGTAGAATTTACTCACTTTGCTGTGCTGCTGCAACAATATTTTCCTAAATTCTCAAATAAATGATCAATTTCAGCAATTATTTGTAGAAAATGATTATAAATAACAGAAATGCAGTATTTCATACCTTAAAAAAATCTAATTAATTTTTTAAATAAGATAAACTTTGTTGTCCCAATTGAAATTTGTCTTGGGTACAGACACTGACTGCTGCATAGCCCAAAAATCCATAACCATCACATTATATTCAACCTTAACACATGAATAATGTTTTAAATTGGGTCAAGTTCATAAATTAATGTTAGGATAATAAACCTTTACTTTCAATCCCAGATTTCATGTATTTTCTGTTGGATTCAGGTGATTATCTGATCAGTTCCCCATGACGTATGTTAATGCTAGAATTCAACACTGGAGACGCTGGAATGGACTGGCTGTCGTATTTTCAGATACATTTTCCAGTGCTCTATTGATATTTTCAGGAGGTATACAACTCAAGCAACATAAAATGCTAGATTGCAGTCATCATCACATATCAATACGTGAAACATCACAAATGCGCAGAGCTGCTGGATGGAATATTTCATAAAGTTTTGTATTTCAAGTGTCACACACTCTGTGTGCCAATAATATGTTTTGCCGGTGTTACTAATATTGTACAGACTGTCAATGCCAAAAGACATATTCCCTCCAGCGTGTTTGGGTGGTCTCCTGGAACCTCCTTCCAAAAGGACGTGCCCAAAACACTGGAAATGATGCCCAAGCCAACTCATCTGACTCTAAGTTATATTCCATCCGCCCTCTGCTGTAGGGTGAGAAGCTGACTGGTCGAGCTTCTCACCCTACCTCTAAATCCCTGAAAATGATGTGTAAATGATGTGTTTAACATTGACTGAAAAATAACATCTGAAAAATATTCAAATTAACCTTTTCATGCCGTCTTTCTGCTCTGCAGGTGGGACAAAGGGCAGCCTGACGTATGGGCTCTGAGCAGGACAGATGGAAACAGAAGAGGCCAAGCATGAGGCGGAAGAAAGTTTAATGTTGGGACAGTTTGGAGCATCTCACCATCATTCTCACAAATTCCAGAATGGAGCTCGGTGTTCACAGGAGGATTCTGTGCAGATCAGCGACAGTGAAAGCTGGATTACTGGTGTGGTGCATTATGAACCCAGCAAAGCTGCTGGCTCCATGAAGAGGTACAGAGAGAACTGCAACATTCCCACTTCAGAACAAGCATTGTTCCAACCGGGATTCTTCAAGATGAACGGAGACTTAATGAACGGAGAGTTGAAGCATGGATTCGCAGAGCAGTCCTTAGCGGTCCACCAAAGTAAGAAAATAAAAGTAGATGGTGAAATGAAAGAAAACGGTGACTCAAGCCGTAGTTTTGTGAAAAACTTCTCTGAGTTGACAAAGAAAACTGAAATGGAACAGTCTTCTGTTCAGACTGATATTAATTTTGATATAAGAAACTGTCACATACCTAACAGGGATATTTTCAGCCGACCACGAAATAAGTCTGTTCCAAACGGTGCTGTATCATCTTCCTCAACCATAGAAAGTACTCCCGGTGATCTGTTGGAAAAAACCTTGTCTCAGTATTATCCTGAGCAAGTCTCCATTGCACCACAAGCATCTGGATCACAGCTGGATACTGTCAATGTCTCACTCGCCACACGCTCAGTTGGTGAAGGTGCTCAACCCCCTGCTGTAACCTCAGGGCTGCCGGAGTCGCAGCAGCAGCCGCCTGCAGCATCCGCAGAAGGCGTCAACAGCTACAACTCTGTCAACTATTTAGTGAATGGATATTCTAGTAACTTTGGAGTAAATCAACAGCAACAGCCTTCATCTTGCTCTGGTCAAGAGATAGTTCTGGGGGCACAACAGCATCCCAGTGGGGCACAATGTTTTCCAGACAACACAAACCCTCAAGGTACATATACAAAAACCCAGCAGGAATACAATCCAAGGTCTTTTCTGAACCACAATAATCCCTCGCAGGCTGCAGAGGCGGGTGGATATGGATCTCTTCTTAATTCCGGTGCAAATGAGAACAGCCAAAATGACAATGGAGCTGGTCTGTATCATGACACCAACATGGGAATCCAGTACGGGACTCAAGCTCAGAATTTCCAGGATAACTCTGGACGACAACATCAACCCGATGGTCAAATAGGAAACAGCCTCCAGCAGCAAAATCACTCTGTGTCAGTAAACGGTGTGGAGGATGCACATCAACAAAGAGTCAACATTTCATGTTCCACTCCCAGCCAAACTAATTGGATAGAAAGGAATCTGTCACATTCCCAGCAGCAGCCAACCCAGTGCACAGCATCCCAGGCAAAAGAGCAAGACATGTGGAGAGCTAAGCCTCAGTCAGAACAGCAGACCACCAGCCCCCAAGTTCAAAACCAGATACTAGAGCCAAACCAAGCGCAAAGGTTCAGGGAAACGCAGACACAAGGACTTTTCACAGACGCCGGCCGAGGGTCTAACGGCTCGCTTCAAAAACAGCCGGACTGTCTACCTGCTCACATGCAGTCTGCTCCAGTTCAGCACAACACTGCCCCTGAGTGGCTGCAGTCCAACTCTAAAGCACCCCAGATGCAGCAACATTTACTCCAGAAAATGCCTGAGACAAAAAACTTCCCTCAGAATCAGCAATCTAACTGCTACCTCTCCCCAATGCAATCAGAGCACTTACACAAGGACAAAGACTTGCAGGAGATATTGTCAGTAGAGTTTTTAACAACACAACAGCAGCACTGTCACCTTCAACGCCCGCTGTCCCACCCACCGCAGTTTGAAGCCCAGCAGCTCAAATCTCCCACCTACAGACCTCGCAGCCAGCCTCCACCAGGCCAACACCAGCCTCAACCAGACCAGCCTTTCAGTAACAACCATCAACACACTGACCAATCAGCATTCACCTACAATAACACAGAGATGCAACAGCCACAACATCAAAGACAGTGTCTTGAAAACTCAGGCAGCCAAAACCTCAAACAGTTTCAACCACAGCAGCCTAAGAACCACTGCCATGAGCCCAACCAGGTGGACTTAGCCCAGACTTCTTCACAGTCACAACCTCACCTACCGCAGGGTCTGTTCAGCCAACAGTCAGGAACACGGATGTATCCCAAAGCCGAGGAGCAGGCGAGGGCTTCTTGCGCCCAGTTCCAAACAGGACCTCGACTACCTCTGGGACCAGCAAGTCCCCATGCTGACTTTCAGAGGCATGCGGCTCTTCGCATGCGTCTTTTACAAAGGCAGGAACGTCACGGCCCTTCTCAACTCCCTCAAAGCCCAGTTGACTCCAAACAAAACCTCAGAGCTGTAAAAATGGAAAACGGCCCCAGATTCGAGCTGCCCACCTCACGGCAGCAGGAACAGCCGTTTATGACCCGTGATGCAGGGATGGGTGGGATCAAGATCAAGACTGAAAATCAACAGTCACTATGTGTTCAGGACAGGAAGCCAGGGAACATCATTGCCTCTATGGAACAAAGCTTGAGGCAGTACGAGCTCTCGAATCTATTCGAGAAGAAACCTCTCGTTGTTAATTCATCAAATAAAGTCAAAGTGGAATCCTCAGGCCCTGTCACCATACTATCAACCAACATGGATATGAGTGGGGCAGACTCAGCGGCCACAGCAGCTTCTGTTTTGAAAAATACCCTCGACTCCACTCCCAAGAAGGAACAGCTCCTTAAAAATTTCATAGATTCCCCCATGAAGTTGTTAGATACCCCTGTAAAGAATCTTCTGGATACCCCCATGAAAACTCAATATGAGATCGCATCGTGCCACTGTGTTGGTAAGTCTCACCCTGTGGGTGATGAAATGCGATCAATGGTTTAGGTTGTAATTCTTAACATTTTATGCCTTATTTAATTTAGATCAAATCATTGAGAAGGATGAAGGTCCATATTACACTCATTTGGGCTCAGCACCTACTGTCGCTGGCATTCGAGAGCTGATGGAGAAAAGGTAATCCACAAATTAATAGAGCATTAGAGGAAAGCTGACAATGTTTTGCAACTTCTGTTTGCTTTTTCTTAACGTTTTATGTTTTGAAGGTCTGGCATCACTGGGCGAGCCATCAGGATTGAGAAAGTAATTTACACCGGCAAGGAGGGGAAAAGTACACAAGGATGCCCCATAGCCAAATGGGTATGAAGATTTTATTTATTTTTTTTGTATTTTATTTGTAATCTGATAAATTGGCTGCCCTTAAATATTTCTCTGATACCTGTGTGTGCTCTGTTTCAGGTGATTCGGCGATCCAGTGTAGAGGAAAAGCTACTGGTTTTGGTGCGTGAACGTACCGGTCACAGATGTGACACTGCCTGCATCATAATTGTAATTCTGGTCTGGGAAGGCATCCAGCCCAGCTTGGCTGACCGCCTTTATCTCGAGCTCAGTGAAACTCTAACAAAACACGGAGCTGATACGCAGAGACGCTGCGCTTTCAATGAGGAGTAAGTTACAGCATTGCAGTACTCAGAAGTGTCTTATAATTAAATAACTACATCTTAGTAGTTTACAGGTGCATTTAAAATATATTGTGGAAAGGGTAAATTGTTATTCTGTTCAAAAAGGGAAATTCATAATATATGGATTCACAATAAAACAGATTTCAAACATTTAATTTCTGTTAAGGTATGATGTATTTTCCCGGGACAAAGTGCTACTTATAGCACAAACAAGCAACTATGTTACCTTCAGTTGTTATAAAAATGCTGTTTATATGTATTAAAAAAGTTTTTAAAAAATGTGACTTTGCACCATAGCCACATCCTCCATGAACATCACAACAGAGCCGCAGTAAGATTACCATCCATGTCATGCTGCACTGATGCAATAATGGATGCAAAATGAACCTCAATGTTTTGAGTACATATACAGAACAGTACATGAACATACTGTACTGCTGATCCTTTGTGCTAGAAACCTTTTTTAATGATTTTGTGTTACATTAAAATGTTCTGACAAACTAAATCTTGGGTTTTTATTGGCTGCAAGTCATCAAAATTAAAGAAATAAACGCTTTAATACATCACCGTTTAATTAGTCCATATATATTTTTCTAACTGGATTATTTAAATAAAATAACTTCTTGATATTTAGTTGTTTTGAATACACCTGTCAGACTTAAATATTAGAAATGCATTATGTTCAAGATATACTCCCACAGTGTAAATCTGTTCTGTTATTCAAAGTGTTTTAGCCAAGTTTGTTTTGTCAATGCTACCTGTACACTTTCAGGAGGACCTGTGCATGCCAGGGCTTTAATCCTGAAGCCAAGGGCGCGTCTTTCTCTTTTGGCTGCTCTTGGAGCATGTACTATAACGGCTGCAAGTTTGCCCGAAGCAAAATCCCGAGGAAGTTTAAGCTACTAGGAGATGATGTCAGAGAGGTATTTAATAGAAATGATGTTGAGGATCATGGCTGTAGCCAAATTCAAAACACTTATATTTAACTTAATGTTAAACGTTCTGTTTTTTAGGAAGAGAAACTTGAGAAAAGTTTTCAGAATTTGGCAACATTACTGGCTCCTTTGTATAAAATTATGGCCCCTGAAGCCTATGGAAACCAGGTGAGTATGTCTTGGTATTTATAAAACCCCAATACATCAAATAATTTTCTATTTATCTACTAAAATAATGTACATACACATTAATAAAAGACATAGCTGATCCTCAGATCAAATAAGCAAAAGCAAGCAGGCTTTTAAATTATTATTAGACCATCATTTCTCAGTAATGTGGATTTTTTTTACTTTCTGACTTTAGTGAGGGCACTTAGTTAAATAAGCAGGTGCAAAAAATATTAATATGACCATAAAAAGAGTGCACTATAGTTGATTTGTCTGTGGGAAAGACTGTGAATAGTTATCGTGTACAAGATTTGTTTTCGGCTCCATGTGTCTTGAAACGGATCAGATTTGATAATGGCGTGACGGAATCTACACGTCTGAAGGATTGTGTGTGAATATGATCTGCAAAAAGAAAACACCATTAAACATAGATTAGACACATTAAACTTTTTTTTTACATTTCTGACAGGGTTTTTGTAATGTTTTGAGCTTTTGTATTTCCTCTTGTGTTTGTCCGTAGGTAGAACATGAGCACAGGGCCCCAGATTGTCGCCTAGGGATCAAGGAGGGACGGCCTTTTTCCGGAGTGACTGCATGTTTGGATTTTTGTGCCCATGCTCATAGAGACCTCCACAACATGCAGGGAGGAAGCACTGTGGTAAGTGTGGGGACCTAGGAAAAATGTTTTTACCCTCCCTTGTCAAAGTATTCATGCTCCCATAGGATTGTCGTATCTCCTCTTGTTGCAACTATAAATCTAAATATTTTTACTGGGATTTTTGCTAATAGGTCAACACATAGTTGGGGATAATTGTGAAATAGAAAGAAATTTTTTCTCAGTTTGCAGCTTTTTTTTTTCCAAATGAAAATCTGGGATACCAAATAAAAGATCCTGAATCATATCCATAGTATAAATAAAAGAAATGTAATCTATATAATATTTAAAGTGCACCTGTATGTAATCCGAATAAAGCTGCATTTACCTTATTCTGGCATGTACCTTTTTTTCCCAGGTGTGCACATTAACGAGGGAGGATAATCGAGAAATTGGAAAGATACCAGAAGATGAGCAGCTCCACGTCTTACCTCTTTACAAGGCTTCGAACACCGACGAGTTCGGCAGTGAGGAGGGCCAACAGGAAAAAATAAAATCAGGGGCCATTCAAGTCCTCAGTGCCTTCCGTCGTCAGGTGCGCATGCTTGCAGAGCCTGCCAAGTCTTGCCGGCAGAAGAAACTGGATGCGAGAAAAGCGGCTGCCAACAAGAATGCCATGCTGGAAAGCTCAAATGACAAGGCAGAAAAGGCCCTTTTGGCCAAGGCAAAGGCTGGCAATTATGAGAACACTGTCCAGAGCACTCCATTTACAGGTAGAGTAACATTTTATGATGACTTTTTGTTTTTTTGGGGTTTTTTTTAGGAAACTCCGATTTTAAAATATGGTTGGGTGATATGACCTGAAAATAATTTTTGATTAATGTGAGGTTTACTGCGATATGCAATTGATATTGTGATATTAAAATTGTGTTCCTAACCACTGTATTCATGCCCCATCCTGTGTTGTAGTGGTGTACCCAGACTCACCCTCATCTTTAAAGTCAACAGGATGAAAACAAACCTTACACCTGTCCCTGCATATAATAATTTAGTAGAAGTGACTTTCAATCAGTCCAACTCCAAAACAAGGGTTTGGCTCAAAGTGAAAACAGTAAATTAATTAAATAGTGCTTTTTCACAGCACTATTTAATTAATGAAAAGACTGACTGGTAAAACGTCACATGAAATCAGTTTGTTTTCATAAGTTTTTTTTGTTTTCTAGGTGCTGTGGGAGCCCCCCTTCAGTCAGGTCACCCATCATACCCCCTCGGGGTCATGCCGCAGCAAATTCAGCAACCACAGCACCAGGGCATGTACCCCCCTTATCCTTCCTCACCAAACGCTGCTCTCCCAAGGTTCTCTAACAGTCCTGGCTCTTTTCCAGGCTCTCCAAAGCCAGGAAGCATGTACACCGCTCAGCCATCAACACCAGCCAGCCATTTCCTCTCTTCACTTCCAAACTCATACATGAATGGGCCAAATCGTCCACAACCAGGTCACCAATGTAACGGAGGAATGGCAGTTGAAAGTTACCATCAGTTCTATGCACCAAACCAAAATCAGCTGGACGTGTACCGCCAACAGCGGCCAGCGTTTTTCCCCGAGCAGCAGTATGGCGTCCAACAACGCTTTGAGCTCAATTATCCATCTAGGTACAGTCAACCAGGCTTCCAAGTCAATGGTTACAGTGCCATGCGTCCACCTCAGCCCATGAGACACTATGGTCCTTTTGGCAACAACAGAACCTCAGATGCCCGGTTCATTGACACCCTAACAGGAGCGCCCTCTGTTCATGGTGGCATGGATTATGCACTTGCTGTAAGTAAAGCCAATCAGTTTGGAGAATACCCAAGTTCATACTTGCCTCAGAGTCCACACATCCCAGGCCGTGATTCCTTCCCTATGCAACTTAATACAGACGTGGCCATGCCTAATCCACAGATGCTCCCAGCTCAAATCAGCAGTGGCTGCTTAAACCCTGAAACACAGTCAGGGTTGGGTCTTCCCAATGGTGGACATATATCCTCCAATATTAAGTCGGAGCCTGGAGCGCCTCAGACACCCACGACCCCCAAAAAACCAGAAATGTGGTCAGACAACGAGCACAACTTCTTGGATCCTGAGATCGGTGGTGTGGCTGTAGCTCCAAGTCATGGCTCTGTACTCATTGAGTGTGCAAAACGAGAGCTGCATGCCACAACGCCCCTCAAAAACCCAGACCGCAACCACCCAACACGCATTTCACTTGTCTTCTACCAGCACAAGAATCTGAATGAGGCAAAGCACGGGCTGGCCATGTGGGAAGCTAAGATGGCAGAAAAGGCTCGCGAGAAGGAAGAAGAGGCCGAGAGGAATGGCGGGGAAGGGACTCCGAGCAAGAGCAGCAAGAAGGGGGGGAAGCGGGAGCATTCGGAGTCTTCAGAGGCTACCGGAGAACCGCCATACAAGCGTTTTATAAGGGCACTAATGGAAGGATCGTCATCATCGTTCACAACTAATACTCACGTCATGACAACTCCATATGCATTCACCAAGGTCACAGGGCCTTACAGTCAGTTTGTGTAGAAAACAGCCTCTAAGGAACTTGAAGGTGCTGCAACCCAAACCACATGCATCAAATCGCTATCGGCAACCTTCCGATGGAAAAACAAATGTGCTATGTTTCTCAACTCACACAGCCGAGCTTTACTAGTTGATCCTACTGAGGTAACTATTGCAATACCAGAAAAACAGTGGTGCTTTCAGTCTAACACACAAGGAACTTTTTCAGCTGAAAACAAAGTTTCTTTTAATGGTGGCTTTATTTTTCTTACAAAATTTCTAATATTTGCATAAAACACTGACTTTCAAAAGTCTAAGACTCACGGTGCTGAAAAGTATGCTTATCACCACTTTCAAATGCCTTCACACTAAAACCAGACTACACTCTACAAGAGACTCACAGTTCATCTACTGGTCACTGTCTAAAATCAACCGACAGTGAAATCTTGAGCATCTCCATCATTTTTAAGAAGTCAGTGTTTCTTAAGAGCACTTTTTTTTTCTTTAATTTTTGAGTTTAATGTTTCAGACATTAAATGAAAAATTACAATCTCATCATGCTGTATAGCAAATATGTACAGGTGCATCTCAGTAAATTAGAATACCTTCAAAAATGTAATTTATTTTAGTAATTCAGAGCAAAGCAGTTAAACCCACTTAATAGGCCCATTACAGAGTGATGTATCTGAAGTGTTTATTTCTGTTGCTTTCAGTGATTATGGCTTACTGCAAATGAAAACTAATTTATTAGCTTCTTAGCTTTTCTTCATAAAAAAACAATCAAGAAATTTTTTTCATATTGAAATCTGGGTCTGTATTAAAGTATGTCTTTGTTGACGGTTTTTGCATAAATTTCTGCATCAGCACAGTGTTGCATTATGCTGACTTGATAAACCAACAGATGACTTGGGTCCTCAAATCATAACTGAATGGAACTTTTTTCCTTCCTCTCAACTTTACATCAATTAATATTGGAGCAGCTATATAAGTAATTGTAACAAGTATCATAATAAAAGATCTAATGATCATTTTAAGCTCTTACTATTGATTGTAGCAAACCTTAAAATCTAACAGCGTGTTTGCGATTGTTATTTTGCTCTTTCCTCTTACTTTTGGTTTCATTTTGAATAAATGTAATTATTGTGTTGTGCTTCTCGGTGCTACAGCTGCACTATTTAATGTATCCATGTAATGAAGTGGTATGTAAAAGTTTTATCTTGAGATATATATTTGTGCTTGTGAGGCTTTTCTTATGCACTCTTATAGACATATAGTCTTTTAAAACATTTTTAATACTTTTTGGGAACATCAGCGATATGTTTTATTATTATTTTTATTGCTATTGGAGCAGTTCCAACAAAATAAGAGAAGAAAAAAAAAATATTAGGTCAAATAACTCATTGCTATTTGATACCAAGTCAGCAGTACACACCATGATTGTGCAAGCCATTTTATATACATATCTGTTTTAAAATCCTTTCTTTGTTGGCCTTATGTAGAAGAAGATAAATTTTATTTCGTTTCTCTATTTGCTGGCAGCCATAGCAACCTGAAGTAACAGAAAACTGTGATATATGTCAGACTGTCGAAATGAATTGATGAGTCTCATGTTTTGAATTGATACAATTCAAGTTCCCAAGTAATATTGTAATTTATGGAGATGCATCTTTTGTACTTAGTTCAAGTACCTGGAAAGAAAATGAACGTGTCATCTTATTGGTGCTTTTATCACTATCTGGTGTTATACTGTAAAATTGAGCCATTCATGTGGTGCATTCTAAACATTTTGGGGACAAAAGTATAAATATTTTCTCTTTAGTTTTTAGCAGGTTTACTTTGCTGTTCTTTGTGACTGTTTTTATAGCTCCTTACTGTAGATTCTCCAAATATCCTGGCTTGTGAATATTACATGTAGTTTTATGTCTGTGGTGCTCAGTAAATGTGCTTTTATACACTGAGGAACACAAAACAGGGTAAGCTCAGTGTCAGAGGGCAGCTGACTTGCTGTTGTGATTGAATTAAGTCAGACAGGTTATATTTGTACAGTAAGTTAATTTCCCCATATTGGACTTTTGGGATTTATGTTGTAAATTATGCCGGGTGTCATTGTGTTTCTTTAGGTTTCAACTGATTAATTTCAACAAGGTGCTACTCAGCCTAGTAGAAATGTACAATGTGAAACTTTTGACGAGATGAAAAGGCTTATAAATAATGTACAGCATAAACCTGTCGTATACCTCAAAACTAGCTCGGCAATAGGATTATTACATATCGGTCATTGTCTGTGTGCTACTTTCACAATATTAGGCCACCAAAAGGCGAAAAGGAAGCTCTTGTTTTTACTTTCAGTGTGCTTTGAAAATATTAGTTGAAGTTTTAACATTACTGTAAAATCAGGGACATTTTTAACTAATTATGTGTGCATCTTTCGCAAATCTGTGTTCAAACTTTTTTTTTTTTCCTTTAAACAGTCGGGGACTCGTTCTGAATCCTGACTGTGTTCTTGTTTAATAGATTACACATAAGTTCAAATAAAAAAACAGATGCTATCCTGCAAAATTTCTATTTTAGCTAGTGAGAGGGTATTTTCTTCAAAATTAATCAACATATATGCACTCAGTTGTCAAAAGGGAAAGATAATGACTAAGTTAAAGCAATCTGTTTGCCTTTGCCACGCAAGACCACAGCAGTGATTGATGCGACTGCACGTTTTGCGCCTGCATGTTAGTAAATTTAATTTATAACCACTGAGCAACTTAATTATTTCTTCCACTTAATTATGGCAATTTAACTGAATATCAGTCGTACTTTAATGAAAACTCTCCCCAGTTCTTTCACGTATTGATTTCTTTGAAAGCACTTCATTTATTTTTTATTAAAAGAAGTATGTAGTAAAAAAAAAAGTAATGTTTTATTTAAACAAATTGTACATGTGTTTAAAAAAAAGAAATAAATTATGTTACATTGTACATAGCAAGAATTTGTATTGCAGGAGTACAACTCACTGACATTCATGTTAGGCTCTTTTTATTCTGTCAAATAGACCCTTGGCTCCACATATATGACCTTTAGAATAAATTTAAAAAAAATTTAATAACCGGAGCTTTTCAAGGTGAATGAAATGAAATGAAATAATGGATTATCCAGGAAGTTTTATTTTTTATTTTTTTGTAAATACTACACTCACTTTCACAGCAATGTTTACAGTTATAGAAGCTAGCTCAGTTCTTTAGAGGCTCTGGTTTATAATCGTTTTGTAAAACGAATCCTTCATAATATTAAAGAAAAAAAAAAAAAGGTTGGATTATCATTGTACAGGACCCAGCTACAGTAGCAGGTTGTCGAGAAAGCCGAGGCACCAGAAGCGGGTTTTAAAGCATAGCCATACTTGAAGATGCTTCAGAGTGTTTCTGAGTGAGTCAACTTTACTTGAATGACTTTCCTGACTTAACCTGTACATTTTATGTGCTGAACTGAGCGAGGTTAAGCCAGCACTTTGTACACACTTGGTCTTTTTGCAGTTAGACACTAAAAAAAAAAAAAAAAAAAAATGTTTTCGGCCCAAGTTCTCTTGAAGTTCGGTATGTTAAAACAATAAAATGAGGTTGGCTGTTCATACTGTAAGTATTGTAATGTACTGAATGCAGTTTATTTGAAAGCTGTTAATTGTATCATTCCTGATGTTGCCGACATGTGGGTGTTCCTTTTTTTTTTTTTTTTTTAATAAAACTTATATTTATTTAAAGCAAATAGCTTCATTTTTCCCCCCCACTCTATTAAGGTGAATAAAGTTTTTTAACTGGACAATAAAAAAACGCTGCACAGAAGCCAAGTTCAGAACCTTTTTTTAATTATTTATCCAATATTAGAAACATATTCTTGCTGTATACAAAATGTCTGTCGCTGAAAAATCAATCCAATTTCTGGTCACTGCTCTCAGGGGAGTACGTACTTTTCTCCAAGTATTGCCAACAAATATACCCCAGTGCACAACCAACTTAGTGTATCGCTTAAAAGGAAAGCATCACCCAAAAACACAAGTGTTGCATGTCTTCGTTGGCCCATACAGTTTATATATGACATGCCACTGCAAGTGCGTATAAAAAATAAATCTGCCTGCATACAAGAAAAAGCAGCAGGATACATGATACTTCAATTCATGTTAAAGACGATCTGATGTTTCCGAGGGAACCCTATAACTTCATACGAAATGCCATTTGTCCACTGCAGGAGACAAGAAGATAATTTAGGATGAAATCAGAAACGTAAGCACTGAACATGAGTTTGACAGATAAAATTATTTTCTGCTTACCTTCTGCAGACACAGGATGTGCACTACCAAAAGCAGGAGCCTGAAAGTGAAATCATTGAGATGCGGATTACTAAATTAGATTCCAAGTTGGATTTACTGTTCCCCCCACCCCACCCCAGATGTTCACATACTCTCAAGAGTATTGATGTCATTCATTTGGAGGATTAACTATTTTCTTAATCATCTATTCCAGTTCGCAAAGATTATTAAAAACATGACTTGCATATAAAAGTTTGAATTTGTTGATTTTGTTTAATCCATTCCTAGTTAAAATTACACACACAGGCTTAAATATCAACATATGTCACCACTAATGTCAAGTTAGATGTCTGCAGAGAAACTGCTTGCTTTTTGCAGCCATCAACTACTTTCTCTCTGGATGTTTGGACATTTTGATAGAATTGGTTGGTTTGCGGTCACTAACCTGGTTTCTTGCAGGGTTCTTAAAGATTAAGGAGTTCCCAGAGACCTAAGGTTAGTGTGTTCTTGCCATTCTAAAAACAGTATGGAAGTATGTTTGGGATTGTCAAAACAAAACTAATCAAATCATCGGATCCAAACTGCCGTCCTCCATGAAAAAATAGAAAAAAAGGCACATACAGGAAACAGAAAGGCTGAAACCTTTCAAACTGAAGAACTGCTTTAACACCAGTCATTTGCCACAGTGAAGTTTTAACATAAACATTGTAAAGGTTTCTACTGTGAGACACCTGCTGGCTGAAATGTGCATCACTTGGAGAAGCTGGAAGCCTTCGGGTGAAAGGTGCATGATCAGAGAAGCCCAGGATTTAATGGCTTTGAGAGCAAGTGTGGCGGGAAGGAATCAAGGAGAGGCAACAACAAAACTCTGCTCCAACTATGAAGAAATGACAGCGGCAGCATTAAGCTGAGGGCCTCTACAAAGGGACTAGAAAAGCACAGATTGGGTAGAGTGCCAGAGTTCATATATGTTCAAAATTCAATATTTTTCCAGACTCAAATATTTTTTTAATGTAGTTTTTAAAAAATTCAGAAGAATATGTTACAAAATTACTCCTTGTTAGTTTGCTTTTATTAGCTACAGGTTCTTTAAAATTTGAAATACGATATCCACATTGGTGTCTGAGTTTCAGACAGTGGCATAGTGCCATTTTACAGATTTTTAGTAGCGTCTAGCATTGCTCAGATCTGCTCCACTTCAAAAACTCTTCAGCTTCTCAAAGGACTCGGCATCATGGACTGAGTGATGTTTTCCTTGCAGAGTCAGAAATTTGTTTTCTTTGTTTGACTTTTCTCTGCAGCTTAGACCCGGTTTAAGATCACAGGTCCAGCTCAACCTGAATTTGATGTGGTCCTGAAACCAAACAGGTGATGAAATGACTTATTTTTGAACAGGGTGTGTAGAATTTTGTACAAAGAGGTTAATTTAATACAATTTGGAATAAGGCTTTAACGTAACAGACTGTGTATATTTGAACCTGTGTGTATACTTTTGACCCTGTATGAATTAATTAAACTAGTGCACTTAATTATAGTTCATCAAGTATCTACTCTGGAAAAGAGTAGGTACTTTCTTTAGCTACAATTCATTTTTGTAGCAAAAGTACTAAATTAATTTGACATTTATGACAAAGATGATTCCATGTTACTTTTAGAATCAGATCCATCTACCACTGCTGCTGCCGTAAACGGTTTTTTGAAGCTCTCACCGACTGAACGACGGCTCTGGCCTCGTCGGCGCTGAACTGGAAAGGACTGTTACAGCAGGACATGTTTTTGCTGAGAGGGAAAAAATATGATGCAAGTTCAACTTTCTCTTATCCATTTCACATGCACATACACATCTGCTTTGCTTTACCACTCAATCCCTCCAGCATTTGTTTGCTTCTGCACAAGTGCCCTCCAGTGCTCATGGGTGGACTTAATGATCTCAACTGCAAAATCCTGTCGGCAGAGAGAAATCCATTTCAGCACATTTGGTCTGAGCTGCCGCCGCCGCCGCCGGTCCACCAGCTGCTGCGCTCTGTTTATTCTCAAAACCTGACCTTGTCTTTGAATTCCCCGTTGAATCCAAACTGGTTCTCTGGCTTTCCATCGGGCACCTTGTATTTCATGAACCACTCGACAGTAGCCTCCAAATGACCTGGTCGGCTCTTCCGAACATCTTCTATACCTGAGGGGAGGAGAGAAAAACAGAGTCGGAGATTACTCGGGTTTCCATGAAACAGATAAAGTGGATTTTATCTGTTTACACATGAAATGTAACCTGCAAAGGGAAGTTTCTCGGGATTCTAAGAATTGGCCTTAGTGGGGGAAAAAAACAAAGCCTTGACAATACACACAATATGTTTAAAGAGCACCGAATGTCAATAAATCCATGTTGACAATGAAAACTCAATGGTTATAAACTATTAAAGTACAGAGAGCTAATGTGGTGTTACCGTCTGTGCTGCTTGCTATTGCATTACCATTCAGTATTAAACATGCTTATAAATATATTCGAATATGAACAGAAAGTTGATTCAATTCAGCTTTTCAATTCAAACCATGAAATATGTGATAAATAGATTCAGAACTGTGAAATAAAACAAGTTCATTTAGATTATTATGGCTTTCTGCTGTTAAATACCCCAAATTACGGTTACTACGATAATGAAAGCATTGCATTAGACGATTACAAAGGATAACTAATACACAATTATGCAGATGGTCACTGAGACCCTTCACAAGACAACAAGTTATTGTTAGAGAAGTTGACTGCTCAGAGTGCTGCATCCGAGCAAAATAACGAAAATTTGGATGGAAAAATAAAATGTGGTAGAAAAATGCGCAGCTTTGAGAGGATTTGTGAAGCCTATTAAAGAGTTCGGGGGACACTGACAAGAAATTAACCGTGCTGGAGACAAAGCTTCAGGAGCCGCCGTCACACAGCTGGGAGGCAATGTCAAAAGTATCTTATGTGGGATAAAGGGAAAAAAATGTACTGAAACTGTTGCTCACTGGGCCAACCAAAGTCCTCTTTGAGATAACCATGGTCAGTATTTAAGTTAAGGAGCTTTTCCACTAAACCACCTCTAACCAGTACGGTCCGTTCCGCCCCGGCCAGATTCATTTTCCATTAGCAAATCCAGCACGGCTCTGCCTGGCTGTTCTCAGATCTTCGTGCCTACTTCAGGGGTTCTCAACCTTTATCAACCCCACAGAAACCACGGGGCATCATCAAGAGGAAGAGGAGAGAACCAGAACCTAACACGGCTGCCGTTACAGTCTCTGACCTCTCGGCGCTCTCCTCACGACAGAGCTCGTTCTCCCGTGTTTCAGGTCTGACCGACTGGAGATGTGATGCAGCCACTGCATAAAGAATGCCCTTTCAACATGTCACGCCCATTTTTCCCTTGGCCTTCATCTGCAGTCATCTTGTCAGAGTTTGTTGTGGACTTGAGCAGCTTGGTGTGATTTGTTCTGTGTGTCTGCGTCTAAAAGGCCAGTGCACAGCTGAAATGTCGGTCTTTAAGTGACAAATTTACATATGAATTTCACATCTTTAACTGAATCATCTTAGCCTAAATCCCGCCAGACTCCATGTTTTCCTTTGGCATAATAATAAACACTCATTCATTTATTATATAGAAGGTGAACTTCCACAATAGAGAATCTTCTCATGCTCTCCAGATCAGCAAAGCACAGATTTATTCCAGAATCGTCCTCATGGCTGTTGTGAACTTTTGCCTACGACACTCACAGTTGAGCTTTTCTGCGTCTTCGTCATTTGCATTGATGGCGATGACCTTCCAGTCCATCTCTCCCTCATCAATCATTGCCAGGATGCCCAGAACCTTGACTTGGATCACCTGACCCGGGGAGCAAACCTGAGGTTGAACAGTTTAACAGGTAAAGGTCAGATACAGAATCCAAAAGTGCACATTTCTTTTCATAGGCATGGAGATGAGTAGCAGCGTACAGAGACGTCTGCTTACCTGGGTGCCGATGTCACAAACATCAATGGGGTCATTGTCACCACAGCAGTCAGTTTCTTTGTCTTTGTGGTTGGGATCCTCCCAGGTCTTTATAGAGGTAAAGTCCACAAGCAAGTAAAGAACACGAAAAAGTCAAAATCTTCTCAGAAATATTCAACAGCTAACAAAATATACAATAAAATGTTTGGATTTAAAACTATTCCCTCCCTCCCCACATGCTTCAAAGTTGAGATGGCGTATTAAGGATTGTTGTATTCCTCTTCTTTAAACAGGAGGAGCAGAGGGGATTTTATAACAATTAAGTTCTTCTCCGTTCTTTTAAAGTGGGAAAACTTAAAAATTTTGCAATGTACCAAATACTTGCTGCAACAGATGGGGGAAAAAAAAGTACTTGACCCACAAAATAATAAAACCTGACAAAGTGAAGCACCTAAAATCGGTGCACTTTAAAGCATATCTGTCTTGGAGAAACGCTGCAGATTTCTCCTGACCTGTGGAAGTGCCCCATAGTTCCAAATGTATCCTTTATGAGGAAAAATGTTGGCCACGTATCTGAGTTTTCCCTTCTTCACGTCTTGTTTGATGGGATTCAGGGGCTCCTTTGTTGCAATCTGGGAAAAAGAAGCGATAAATACCGTTATCTATAAAACGTGCATTTACAACAGAGATGCACACTGAGAGTGCGACTCAGACCGCGAGCCTAGGTCCAGATGAATTAATCATGAAATGAAGATGAAAACGACCGTACACCTGCTTTATTGTCAGACATTAGAGATGTGCCGATCAGGTTTTTTCCTCCCGATACAGATACCGATCACCCATGAGGGCCGATCACCGATACCGATCACATAATTATTTTTTTTTTTTTCATCATAAACCCTACCGGTTACATTATGTGGAAAAAGGAACCATGAATTTACC